AACGTTCACCAAAAAACTAAAGTTTTTTGGTGAACGTTTAAATTTAATTCAAAATAATTTTGAATTTTAATAAACTAAACGTTCACCAAAAAACTTTAGTGAGAAAAATCGAAAAAACGAACTACAACCATATTAACGCCAAACATTCAGTAGAATTTATAGAATATTGTAAATATATAAATAAATAAATATATATATATATATATATATATATATATATAACAATGAAATAAGTCAATGAAACACAAAAATTGATAGTCCTAGTGAAATGATTTTTAAAAGAAAGATAAGTAATTGCCTTCACACTGCAAAACGATAACATTAAATATTTATAAATTTTGCTTTTAAGAATTTTTTAAAAACACGAACTACACAACACAAAAGATCATTCACGCACATGAAGTTCCAAAACTTCACATCCCTCAATGTGTATATATATATATATATATATATATATATATATTTATATTATTATTATTAATATTGAAACATTTATGAAGCGCTAATTAAACGAATCTCCAAAGCGCTATCTAACAAAAACTGAACTTAGCAACGTAATTAAGATAACAAACGAGAAATCATAATGCATCGTACAGAAATAAGATTAAAATTTGGTCATAAACAGAAAAGTAATCGATTCAATATAACGAAAATATGAAATAATATTTAGAACATGTCGACTAAATAGAAAGAATTGATCAATAATGCATTACAATGAAAATAAATGATATATATATATATATGTGTGTGTGTGTGTGTTAGTGTGCGTGTGTGTTAGTGTGTATGTGAATTTGCCTCTGGGTGTTTAAGGGTGTTTTTGTGTGTGTTTGCATGTTGCATACAGGTAACTGTGTGCGTGGCATGGTGCGTGTTGCAGAAATTGCTCACCTCATGCGCGCACATGTTTTGTTGCTGTGCACTTGTTCATCCTGTCGGCCACTAATTCCTCGTACGACATCGCGCGCAATATAAGCCGTTTGAATGATTTGGATAGTAGAAAGATATTCGACTGTGTGTGCTGAGTGTGAAGCGTGTGATATGTGTGGAATGTGTAAGATGTGTGGAATGTGTAGAATGTGTGAGATGTTTGTTTGGGATGCCACGCAAGGACAAAAATTGTTTGGAAATAAAAAGAACGTTTTTGTCTAAATGGTAACAATTGTTATGCAAGTGAGCAAAGGAGGATTTGTAAGTTTCATATTTGTATGCAAGTTAAAAATTTGTATGCATCTCAAGAAGATGTTTGTATCTTTAAGTGAATGAGGTATCTGCTTGCTCCTTGAACATTTCCAAGCAGACTGTCACATGTAATGTAAACATCTGCTTGTAACTTTCAATACTTTGGTTGGAAACATTTATATTTATATGTACCTCTGATACTTAGAGTGCATTGAGATATAATATATGTGAGCTCAATTATTCACCAGTTTTTATATTATTCAATAGTTACTTGCTAATTAAAAATCTAAGAGTTGACTTCTTTTTAAAATATGGCCTTCTGACATAAACTGCTGGTGACTGACAATGTCTGGACCTCAATTTCATGGCATGACATTACTCCAACGACTCAAAGTCACGACTTCTAGCGACATTTGATTGCAACAAAATGTAAACAAAGAGAGACCAGTTGTCCGCCGAAGTTTTGTTGTTTTACCCAATTTAGAATTTCTCATACTTTTGAATGAAACGTTACACAACGTTATGTTTGCAGATACTGTATATAACACACATCACAACACCGGCATCAGTTAATGATTGTTCATCTATGAATTAAAAAGATTTAAATGATTTAAAAACTGTACAGTTGATTAGCCTCGAGACACAGATGCATTTTTTGTGTGAAATGCCATGGAAAAACCAACAACTTCTATAACTGCATTGTATTCACGGTCGATTTGATTCCATTGACTTCATCGTTTCTTCGCGCTATGGTTATTCCTCCAAATTAACAGGCCACTCAATACGCCAGCATCCACGAACAATTTGAAACTTTTTGGTGAAGCAAATGTTTTTAGCGATGTTGAAAAACTGACAAGAAAATTGACAAGGCAAACTACATGTCTACAAAAACGCCACAGAGAACAATAGATGAATAAACAAAAACTTCATCAAGAAAAACAAATAACGACCACAAAAAAAACAAATATTTATCCTAATCAGTCTTCGTCACTAAGAAATGCATTGACTGAAGTTTCCCACTCAGATGACATGCACTTGATCACATCCATTCATTCATCTCCATTTCAAAAAATATTTTCTTTTGTTTTTTATTTTGCCGGATGAATATTTTAATGTTTTTTTTTTCTATAAAAGATTAGTAATTGAAAAAATTTTTGACAGGATATGTGTAGGTTTTGATAACATAAAAAAAGGTATATTTTTAAATGACAACCTCAATCTTTGTCTGTCTTGTTTGTTTGCTTGACTGTCTATTCAGTTGTTTCTTTGTCTGTCAGTTTAATTGTGTTCTTTCGTATGTTTGTATGTTTGTTTGGCTGTCTAATCAATCGACTGTTCTTTTGTTAGTTTGTTGATTCAATTTTATGTATTATCAAACAATGCAACGTGACTGATTTAAACTTTTATTGTTTTCTTTTTAAATCAAAAATCTAAAAAAATGTGAATTAAAGGATTTCGAAATTTTTTTGTAAAATATTTTCAGTATTAAATCTTTTGAAATATATTGAAAATTTTTTATTATAAAATTCTTTAATTGTTCCAGCGTTTTTATTTTAAAGAACTTACAACTAGTTCAATTGTGTCAAACGAAATAAAATTTTCAATTTGTTCAAACTAACTCATGTCGTTGAAGTCGGGGGAAGACTACTTGACATTATCGACTCCAAAAAGTATTTAATGGTAATCTCGAAAGTGCTTGCTAAACAAACAGAAAATGCACTCCATACTGGCTGGACGGCGGTTATAAAAAGAAACAACATGCGTGAACAAATTCACTGGCATATATACACTCAGATACACACACATTCCTGAACCCACACAAACACACACGACACACACACGACACAGACATACATACTCATGCACAAACAGATGACCAGACATTCACACACACACACACACACACACACACACACACACACACACACACACACACACACACGCATACACATAGTTTTACAGGTACATTCTATGTGTAAATCATTTATTAATTTAGCACCTCCAAGTATATTTATATGACCCGCCATTAAAAAATGTTTCAGACTGTAAAAGGTTTTCAGTGAATGGACAGACGAAGCACATTAAAATCCAATCTGCCCCCTAACGATCCCATTAACATCTGCAAACAAAATTCCGTCTCCATTCAAATAATAAACTACAATGGCCATAAACAGCAATATAAACCAATTCAACCGCATTTTGACACCTTTTAAAAGCAGATCAGAGATTGGGCAAAGCAAATGAAGCACATGCATTGAAAGTTTCATAACAAAATTTCATCTTCCTTTTTCTCAATTCAACTAAACAAGTGTGTAATTATTATATGTATGTATATATTGATTGATTGTTATACAAATATACCCAACACCATAATCAGCAGAAACAACAAACTTCGTTTGTGATGTACAATGCTATGGAAACGCAACACACACACACACACACACACACACACACACACACACACACACACACACACACACACACACACACATACATACATACATACACACACACACATATATATACGCAGTCACACATACATATACACACGCGCACACAAACCTTTTTATGGGCACATTCATTCACCTTGGCAGCATAACAAAGTAATTTTTAAGGCCGCCTTTCTGTCATGTAGTGACTGAGTTCGATCGCAAAAGAGATCTACCCCTATCACATACAATGCTCGAAATGCTGGGTTTTACGCGTGATCACCTTGCGTCTGTGTTGTTGGTGCCCCAACATTGAAGAGAGAGAGAGAGAGAGAGAGAGAGAGAGAGAGAGAGAGAGAGAGAGAGAGAACAATCCTTAACCTTCAACACAACATTCATAGTAGATACGAGTTTCGATGGGAAAAAGTTGCAGCAAAAACACTAACACGTGCAAACTCACTCAGTCACACACGCACGCACTCACACGCACACGTTGACCTTAAATAATTGATGAAATGTGTGTTATAATTTCTAATTGATGCTACAAAAAGTACAAAATTAAATGCATTATGTATGTGAAGCTACATCACTCGTATGTACGTTCTCTTGTGTGTTACTGCATCAATATGTGTGTATGTGTGTGTATGTGTGTGTGTTGAGGTGCATTGTATAACTTTGATGTGCCAGTGTTTGCGTGTGTGTGTTGTTATCTGTATGGACATGTGAGTATGTGTGTGATAACGTTTTTGTATGTGTGGCTAATTGCCATTGTTTTCCAATTGTTTGCCAGTTTGACCTGCATGTGAAATGAAGAGATGGTCCTAATTTATGTAATTCATTGTTCTGCCTGCTCTCTGCACCATTTCAATTCATGCGCATAATTACAACACTCTTCAGCCGTGGAATGTTTCCAATGAACTTTTCATGTAGTAGAGATATTGATAATAATAAAGAGATTGGTAATGATAGAGTTATTGGTAATGATAGAGTTATTGATGATACTAATAACGACAATGGCAATAACAATAATAATTGCAAGCGTGTTGTGTTGACAAAAGTTGCATCGATCCATCGACCCGTCTGTTCATTCCTCCACCCATCACTCCATCCATCCTTCCATCCATTCCTCCATCCATTTATCTATCCCTTCATTCATCCAATCATTATCCAATCATTCATCCATGTTTATTAATTTTGCCATCTATCTATTTATTCATTCAGCTTTCCATTTATCCACCACTCTGATTTGCTTGCACTTTAACAATAACAACCATCCAGCCAGCCATCCCACCAACAAGCCAGCCAGCCAACTAACCAACCGGCCAACCCACTAACTCACCAACCAGCCAACCAACTTACTAGCCAACTAACCAATTATCCAACCAACCGATCGACCAATCGACCAACCACCAGACAGCTACCCATTTAAAAGTATGTTGCGTCAATTAAGTTTGATGATCCGGTTTATTTTATTGTTCCATCCGTGTATGTTAATTACAGATGGAATGTATGGCAAACGTGTATATTGACCATAGGTTGAACAGAACATATGCCTGGAGAGGATATGATGGCAGTCCGCGAACCGATTAGTTAAGAGCAGTTTTAATCGCCAGGCTGCCGCTTGCTTGCCTCCCACGCACTTCATCGCAAGTTTCCTTGCTTGCTGGCTGCCTCGTTTCTACAGCACCGATCAACGAACGTTGTAATTAAAAGAAAATAAACGTTAAATGTCAATTGTTCAAATTTTTGTTATTTAAAAAATAGTTTTCAAAAATTTTTTTTTACCATTACAATGATCCATTGAGGTTTATGAAATTACAACTGTTGTAATGTAATGCATGTCGTAGAGTTGCGAGAAGTTTTAAATTATTTCAACGCTTAGCTTACATTTCATATTGAAATATTTCTACGGAGACAAAATTTCAATCAAATCATTACCTTCGTTACATATAATTGTTACAAATTTAAAAAGTAAATAAAACTTATAATTGTTTTTTTACAGCAGTGAACGCTACCGAATCAGTTCAGATCGATTCTAAAGGTTAATTCTTCAAATCAGAACATTATAAGAAGCGGAACAGATAAAACCGATGAACTGAGAATAAAATCTTCACTGAATATCACAAACGAAACATGTTGTACAAAGATACAAAAAATGTGTTAAATTTAAAAACCTTTGAGAAATTCTTTAAAGTTAGGAATTTGATTAAATCACTCGAAATCGAAACAATTTATTTAGAATTGATTCGAAACTATTTATTTCTGATTGAATTACATGTTAGGATTCTTTCACAGCTATTTTAATTAGCGCCTCAATTGCTCTTCAGCACTTCGGGGCAACGCGGCGATA